ACACCCAGATTTTCAGCCTCTTTTTTGAGGGGAAAAAGGTGTGTCTTATACTCCGAAAAATACGGTAATTGCTCGCACTTGCAAGAAGTTTTTTTTTTACTCTGCAAGGTGTTTCCCTGCAGAAGACTGGCCGAGAGACGCAACGAAGCTGTCGGGTGTCCGGGAAGACTCACGGCCCGGCCTGCCCCACCCCCAGCCCAACCTGCCACCCCCAAATTGCACCCTATCTCGAGACGCGTGGCTTACTGGAGACTGGCATCTCCGTCGCATTACTCACCATTGTGTCCGGGGAAGCACCTTGTAAAAAAAAAAAAAAAAAAACCCTTCTCGCGAGTTCAAGAAGTTTGACCGAACTCGCGAGGTGGGTTTCTTTACGTGTTTTCCTGGACACAATGGGTAGGAACGCGACGGAGCTGGGAAGGTAAGACACACGTCTCGCTTCTCGCCGGCCCCACCTGCCAGAAAATAATAACCCACCCTTCCCCGATAATATGGCCAAGGCTATATTTCAGGGGTTAACAAAGCAATATAAAATAAAACGAAAACTTGAAAATGTAGTGCTCACTAGTGTTTACATTTCCCCAGGTAAACACACCTTTGTGCTAGTAGCAAGCAATTACAGATGTCTTGAAAAGACACACAGCAGCTGTTTCCAGGATATCCGGGAGGGGGGAGAAAGGTGTGCGTTTGATAAAACGCCATTACTAGAAACTTCCCATTCAAACTGGTGTCCCCTCTGTTGAAGGGGTCTCAGCCACACCCCGTCCCTCCGTCAACCGCCATCCCTACAGGGAATCCTTTAACTTACAACCACCATTCAGCCCAAGGCGGTGGTTCAAAGAATTGTGCCCCATTTGACAACGTCGTTCGCCACGGTCGTTAAGCGAATCGCGGCAGTTTGTAAGTGAATCGTGAGGTCATTAAGCAAATCTAGATCAGTGTTTCTCAACCTTGGCAACTTGAAGATGTCCGGACTTCAACTCCCAGAATTCCCCAGCCAGCATTCGCTGGGGTTGAGAAACACTGATCTAGATAATCCCCTCTTGACCTTGTCAGAAGCTGGATGGGGAAGTCACAGAGGATGACTCACAAATAGATACACGGGGAAGAGCCATCATGATAGATACACACCTGTTGTCAGGTGTCTGGATTCTGATCACCTGACCATGGGGATGTGGCAACAGTTGTTAAGGGTGAAAATAGGTCGCACGTCACGTGTTCCAAGGCTGTTGAAACTTCAAATAGTCTCTAAAGCAGTGTTTCTCAACCTCGGCGACTTTAAGTCCTGTGGACTGCAATTCCCAGAATCCCCCAGCCAATGCTGGCTGGGGGAATTCTGGGAGTTGAAGTCCACAGGTCTTAAAGTCGCCGAGGTTGAGAAACACTGCTCTAAAGGAATAGTTGTTAAGACAAGGACTACTTGTAACACAAACAACAACAACAAAACACACACACACACAAAAGAAATGAAAACTACTCAGAAAGGCATAATTCCCAGAGCAGACCCACTGCAAAAGGACCATCTAGGACTGTGAGAACTAACCTTTTTGTTGTCGCGGGCCAAAAGCATGCGCCTGTACCCATAATGCAATGCACATGTGAAACCTCCCCCACCTGCGCCCCCTAACCCCCTGTGCTTGTGTCCTGCCCCCGTGCATGCGCTGATGACGCCCCACACACATGCACGCACGACCCCACGTGCATGCGTACGTGACCTCCCCCTGCTTTCCCAGCCCCTGCACATGTGCACTGCCCCATCCCCCTCGCCCGTTTTTGGCTTCCGGGTTGCTGCAGGCAGCTTTCCAGGCCCAAAATGTGGTGTGGGGAGGCCTCCGCACCCCGTTTTGGGCCTGGAAGGCCTCCTGCAGCAACCTGGAAGCCAAAATGGGGCACGGGAGGACCACATGCGCCCCCCGAACCCCGCTTTGGGCCTGGAAGGCCTCCTGCAACAGGTCCTGGAGCTGCACCTGGAAGCCAAAACGGGGTGTGGGGGTACTGCGTGCGCCCCCAAAATGCAATGCAAGTGTCCCATCGTCCATGCGTCCCCCTGTGCATGTGTCCCACCCCTGCACATACACACAGATCCCCCACATATGCAGCAAGATCTGAAAACCCGCTGGCCAACGGGAGGTGCACATGCATGTGCGGTGGAGCTGGGCTGGGCCGACGACTGGCATGCCCACAGAGATGGCTCTGTGTGCCACCTGTGGCTCTGGTGCCATAGGTTCGCCCTCCCGCATCTTAGGACTTCCTCTCCTCTGCTAGCAGACAAATGGACAGTCGGGTGTTTGGGTAAGATCAGCCCCCCCCCCCCAAAAAAAAATCCCATGGGATGTATGGGGAACGCGATCCCAGGTAGTCCTCGACTTACGACCAAAATTGAGCCCAATATTTCTATTGTTCAGACAGTGGCGAACTTTCGCCCCCTTTTACAACCTTTCTTGCCACAGTTGTGAAGTGAATTCGCTGCGGATGTTAAATTAGCAACACGGTTGTTGAATGAATGCGGCTTGTCCGTTGTCAGAGAGTCACAAAAGGTAAATTATATAACACCCGGGAGTGTTTAGTGCCATTGTAACTTCAAACGGTCGCTAAACAAGGTGTTGTAAATCAAGGACTATCTGTCCCTCCCCCCCTCCCCTTTCATCCCAGACTGGCTGGGCTTCAGCATTACCAGATCACAAGGTGGCTTTTTTCCTCCCTCCATCGCTCTGCAAGAATGAGAATTTCTCCACCTGGGCCAGGGGAAGAAGGCTGGGACTTCAACTCCCAGCATGCCATGCTGGCTGGGGGAATTCTGGGAGTTGAAGTCCAGCCCTCTTGCCCTGGCCCAGGTGGAGAAATTCTCATTCTTGCAGAGCGATGGAGGGAGGAAAAAAGC